TCATGATATGACCAGTAATCTACAGAAAATTGATTACATTGTTTTTATTTGTTTTGTAAATAGCCGAAGAGTTTATAAAGAATGGAAAATAAATTCACGTTACTGTAAGGGTAATAATTACAAAGCAATTAATTTAGTAAACATGAATGACAACAACATTGTATATAAGAAAAATATTTTTGTACATTGCATACATAAAGTCAGTGGATATGATAATAATTAGGTTATAGGGACGAAAGTCAAGGAGAATTTTATTGACTGTCTATAAGATTACTTTCATCTAAAAAAAACTATCTTTTAAAGTCGAGAATCTTTTCTGGAATTTTGATTCTTTACAAGCGTATTCGCTTGAAAATTTTGTTCTGTTAGAGTAAAATCAAAGAAAAGCAGACAAACAACTTAGTTAAAAATCGTATCGAATAGTTATTTTCATCACTTCACGAAAATTCGTGTCACGAACTAATATCAACCGTAAAACAGCTCAAAACCAGGGAGCGATTCATACAGTGAGTTTCAGTTTATATTGCCTGAACTTCATTAGGACAAATTTTGAATTATATGAACGGCTCCTTTCAAATTTGAATAAATGGTCTCACCTCACATTTGTAGACCGTTTCAAACAATGACCAGAAAAAGCATATAACAAAGATATTACTGAAGAAACTGTTGCTCGTGCTTTTAACTAATGGCAGGTTAAAAACTTCAGTCTCTCATCAATCATTATGAAGGACTGTGGTCGACATTCAGAATCTGGGATATTCTATGCTCGAACTAATCTCTTAAGTGCAATAAGATTTTGAACGAACAACTACCACATACAAGTCAATGTTATGATACAACGATTTCATCAACAGCCTTGAGTATCTGCTTCAGCTGTAAACTTATCATGACGTACGGACAAACTTGTCTTACTCGGAATTTATAGTTCGGTGAAAGCTGATAATTAATGTGCTGCAGCCAAACTGATTTGTGCACAATCCTTCAAATTCCGGACAGTTTTGTGAGTCATTCATCTTCTTTACGCAACACAGATCTGATATGATGGGATGAAAAAGGCAGAATCAAGTTTTTAACCCACTGTAATTCATGTTCAAAATTAAATTCATTTTAAATTCAGTAGCGTGATAATTAAGTGTACGGTGTTTCTACTTTCAGTGGAATATTTTATTCAGTATAACAGCGATTTATTTCAGTGCAATGTTTATTCAAAATATGATGTTTTTGTACTGAATTATCGTGAATTTTATTCTACATGACATGCGGCGCCCTATTTTCGACTAGAGTCGCCGCGTCTATTTCGGAGTCAGGAAACCTTCATTTCCACCAGTCATTCATGTTCTTACATAGCGTCGTGGAAATTATAGTGGTCCCTTGTTTTCAAATATAAGTAATAGGCAACGCGGATATAACAGGACTGTAGGGTCGATGAAATATCACTGAGCCCTAGCCAAATCATCCGGCAGTTGAGTCACTGATTATCGAACACGTCATCGATTCCTGTCGAAGTCAAGGACAACCAACGCGCGTCAGTTAATTGTACGCTATAGACTGACCCGTGCGGTAGTGCTCACACTTTCGTTTGTACCTACTCTAAATAATACATTTCAGCAGTAACGTCCTTTGTGTTATACGAAATTCAAAGAAACAGTAGTGCCTCGATACGATGAAGGGACAAACCACGTTAGGTGTTGACCGTGAGTTGTGAGTTCGAAGTTAGCTGTTAGTCACACCATTTCCATCTAACTCAAGTGGGCCCCCAGTCATTTATCATACATCATCTACGTTGCGGACCTACAAGACAATTACTCATATTTGAACAGACAACGCAAAACAATTAGTGACCATGAGGAAACTGCAACAGTTTTTGACTGAAAGACTAAATCAAGACATTGGGAAAACCGTGTGACCTTCGGGAGATCTGAAAAATTAGTAGACATTTGTCAGTTTAGAAGAATTTTTTTCTAGCTTTTCGTGTTTTGTAACATCACTGTAAGGCTTTTTGCGCTTAAATACCCCAAAAATAAAGGTAAACTTTGTGATATAAATTTATATATTTTTGTGAAAAGATGGAATTCTAAGGTGTGTAATGAAGCTGTTACCGCTAACACGAGTTAAGGTATTTTATGTCAGTTTTTATTTAGTCTCTGAAATAATGTATCTTTAGTGAAGCACTCCTAATATTCTGTCGTATTTTCTAAGCAGATTGGAAGAGGACTGAATGTTGGAAGAAATAAAGCACAGTGAGCTCTACCTATTATTCAGCACATGATCCCATAGCGCAAGCTTGGATGACTGAGTACTGCAAAGTCAACTCAGGAATAATAGTTTAATATCACTATATAGTGTGTAAAGATGTCAAGACAATCCATGGCTTATCGAAGCCGTTGTCCATTACACTTTTATGACGGAAAAATTTCGACTCCTGTCAAATCAGAAGTCAGGAGTGATATGTTTGAAGATATATTCGATTTGTTTAGGAATATATGATATAAGTTGGCTAGTTGTTGCGAAGAATGCCTAGCAGAGCGTACTCAATGGTGGTTTGGGCTAGGAACCTTCAGACATAGCATTTTTAGTAAATCTAACGAGGCTAGTATCATTACTGAAGAATTAAAGAACTGTTTATATTGGTAATTCTTTCACTGTGGCGGCTTACACCGTCCTAGTGTGGTAGTGGTGACTATAAGACTTCACCATTCAGAAATGTGAACCCGACCAGCATGCCGTTGGCAAACACTTTTCCGACAGCTTGTTATTTCAATCAACGTCTTGCCTTTTTTTCCTACTCTAAGGAGCCATGTGGCAAATAATAATGAAAACTGTTCAATGGACAGTTCGATAAATCATCTTAGCCTTGATCTTTCGACTTTTTCAGAAAGACAGGAAAAATAACATGGAAATGTAAGTGTAGGACGAAATTCACTTATACTTGTGCAAGAAAACAAAACGTAAAAAATAGCCGTCATATATGGGTACAAATACCATGGGACATCGAAAAGGTATACATGGAAAGGTTTTTTGAAATATTTTGCAAACATAGTTTATATGCACACATATACTAGCACATAAAAGATATTTTGGTTTGATTTTTAATAATCTATCCAGAAAAGACATCCAAATGGTTCAAATGGTTGTGGACGGAATAGAAGGAGCTTTCGCTTAACGGGCTTCCGTGTCAAGTAGCAGTGGATCACCAATATTTTTTCGTTTTTATCTAATAGAATTTGAAAATGTAAACAAATAGCCGATTATTTCGAAAAACAAGACAAACAGACTACGCTTATAGAGCGTCGTACATGCAGTAGTCGTTCAAGTGTTCTATAAACCTCACAGTCCCTCCAGAGCACGTCGTTTTAGTCCGGCTATTGAACACGAGAGAAGTTTCTTCGTAGATATTGACTGTCGAGGATTTTTTTCTTTGAGTTTTTAGTGAAAAAGTCAACAGGAAGAAGTTTGCCTTCCTAGAAAGCAGCTTTTTCCCACATGATGCTGATGTTTTTTTAGGTCCGCCCTTTTAGTGATATGAAGTGTGACATACAAAAACAGTGTACTTAGTCATAAGATGAGTTGAACCAAAACATCAATTGATTGCAGTCGAGTGGAAGCAGCTTTAACTGAACGCGTCGCGTTCCCAAGCCAATTCGTGTTAATGTCTGGATCCATGTTCATTGAAGAAGATGAGGAATATGCGAAGTCGCGTGTTTGAATCATGTCTGGATGCAGCGAATCCAACGTCAGCTTTCACACCGAATCCCGAGAAACATGAGTTGGAGAGCGTCAGACCATTGTGATAACTTTGCAGCTGAAAGTGCGGCTTTCAACCGTCGGCGAAGTCATCCTGCCAACCTATTTATGTATTGGGATTTCAGTTGTTTTGTAATGACAACATAGATGTTACTTTTCCTAGCCACCACGTTATAGTAATCGAGGTTAGAGATTTATCAGTTACTTTGGCTTTGGCTCAAAGTGAGCGGTCATATCATCCGTATTCAGTCTTAGCTGACTACGGATGAAAACACTGGATACTTGGCAACACTGGTGTTAAACATGTTCCTAAAATCGATTGAGGAAGACGATGATGGGTAATATAAAAGCAATATGGAGAAGTTAAATGCAGAAGTAATGTTGTGCGTAGCTTATAAGACGCACAGTTATTGTAGAGGATACGTTGAGTAAAGGAATGAAGCGTGACTGGTTATTGACCAAGCGCTTTCAGTCAGCGATAGGTTTAGTAAAACTAACGTAGTCAGCATCAACATCAAATGTTCACAAATTCATCTACTTGAGGGATGTACTTACCACTACAGTGCAAATAACGTGCGAATATCGGTAAAATCCTAAAATAAGTTGAGATTACTTTGTAACGAGTGTGCTGAGCAAACTCATGATGAAGCAGTTGCACAAAGACTGAATTCTCAGAAATAAAAAGATAACTCTGATTCCCGGTGAAATGTGAGTAGTCCGATGGCTTTAGGTAGTAATTCCGATGAAACAAACTCTGAAGATATGTTATATACGATAGGACTGAATTGTACAATAATAAGTACATTATTTAAAAAGCAAACAATAACCATTAAAGATGAGAGGAAAAACGCGTACAAGTAAGGCAACATTTAGATGAAATTGGGACCACGAAGTCAAGTATCCACAGGAGAAGAAACGTCTCATATGGAGTTTACTAGGATTTGGATACCGCAGTTGATCGAGCACCCTCAGGTCGTAGGGTTGATTGTAACTAATAATGTAGACACTAACACTGAATGTCCACAGAGCTCTTTATCTTAAAGAGTTATTCGAATTTACAATGTATATATACTTCTGAAGTTCAATTCTCTTACTGTTACCAGTTACAGAGAGAAATAAAAGCCATTCAAATGTGGAGTTCAGTATGAGCTTCTCAGCCTCTTCATGCGGAAGGTTTTATTTTATTGTCAGAAAATTAGAAATCCACCTGTCGAGCGTTTGAAGTTTGATGATCATATGTACCGAATACTTTGAGCGGGCTTTCAGTGCGTTTATTTTGACTTTCAACGTAACGTCGTACGGTCTGTTTTCTCAGGCTTCTCTACAGTTTAGTAGAAGGAGTTTGTGGACTTCTGCCTTCTCAAAACTACCTTTCAAATCCTTTGTGTTTGGACGTTCTCTAGACCACTGTTGCGTGGCTTCCTATCGTACAGGTTTTAAAATGGATGCTGTTGTGCTACCACAACCTAACGGAGACATTTTAAGCAGTCCTGAAAATGGAATCTCAGGAGAGGCTGTCAAGAAGCGGTTGTCAGTTGAACGGATTTATCAGAAGAAAACCCAATTAGAACACATACTTCTGCGACCTGATTCCTATATCGGTTCCACATTGAAAGACACTCAGCAAATGTGGGTCTTGGATGAGAGTCAGCAACATATGGTCAATCGAGATATCACATTTTCTCCTGGTCTCTATAAGATTTTTGATGAAATCCTGGGTATGAGAATGTTGTTATTTTGATCTGTTTAGTAAATGCTGCCGACAACAAAGTTAGAGATCCTACCATGTCATGTATAAAAATCGACATTAATCCGTAAGTATATTTCTTTATAATTTTTCCCAAAGTGCTGAGAATATGGTCCGCATCTGGAATGACGGCAAAGGAATCCCAGTTGTTCACCACAAAGTTGAAAATACCTACGTCCCTACTCTGATATTCGGCCACCTACTCACTTCAAGCAATTATGATGATACTGAACGGAAAGTGACAGGTGGAAGAAATGGTTATGGCGCCAAGTTATGCAATATCTTTAGCAAGAAGTTCATTGTAGAAACATCCTCTAAAGAATACAAAAAAAGTTTCCGGCAGGTATAAGTATGTATAACAAATTCATTTCTCCAGGTATGGGTCGAAAATATGACAAAGACAACTGACCCGAAAATTTTGGCGGATAAAGGAGATGATTTTACTTGCATTACATTCTATCCCGATCTTGCACGTTTCGGTATGAACGAGCTGGAACAAGATACGGTATCTCTTTTTACTCGTCGCGCATATGATATGGCTGCAACCTGTAATGGAGTTAAAGTTTTCCTTAATGGCAAAAGATTACCCATAAAGAGTTTTATGGACTACGTAAACCTTTTTATCAAACCCAACAAAGATGACGGAGACAGTGTTAAGGTAATTATGGAAATCCATATTAATATTTCCGAATTTTTTTGACAACTGTAACCATAAATATCGTCATGTTCTCACCACATTGGTTTCATTTAAACTCCATAATACCGATCAAGTCAGGTTGTTGCTGCATCATATCCAGATTCCCGAAATATTCCGTGTTCCCAAGCACATTCATTTAGGAACCAAGCATTACGGTCGCTAATGGTTAAGATGTAAAAATGAGTAAAAGATATAAACCAGTTGCTTAATCGATTCCCTGTTTCGAAAGTTTTTCACAGCTTCAATCGTGGTTACTGATGTAAAGCTTTTGACTGAGTGGTTTTGTTTATTCATGGCATCCGTAACATCAAATTGGTTAAAGTCATGTTAGTGCCACCCTTAATTATTTAATGTTCGTATTTGACCAAAACCTAGGCAATATTCACCATTTTTGACTTATTAGTTCGTCAATATTCTTATATTCGTGGTGGATGTGAGTCTGCGAATGCAACTTATTTCCATTAAGACAAATACTTCACTGTGCTATCAGTTCATCTTTGGTTAGATTCTGTTGGTCCACTTCCACAGATTACAAATTGTCAGTTTCCACTCCGATGAAATATGACTGACCCAACATATCCATGACTTGTTCTTGTAGATTCTATAGGTTTCCTACTCCTGAGGTCACCTATGTAGTGAATCCATAATTATTTCACAACAATGTTGTAACCAAACACACTGACACCAACAATATGTTTGCCATCTATCTTTTCTAAATAAACCCAACAAAAATGCTTTAGTAGACAACACATTCTATAATAACTGTATTTAGATAGTGTTTATCGAAGTATATCAATTTCATCCCATCATAACCTTGAACTATTACTGTAGTGTAGGCTTTGTTATAATAATTCTTGTCTTATAACCTTATATATTCTGTCAAACTTATCAGTGATTCACGAATTTTTCTGGTTATTCTGCAAATAGGTTGTATATGAAGCAGTCAACCCCCGTTGGCAGGTAGCAGTAGCAGTTAGCAATACGGGCTTTCAACAAGTCAGTTTTGTTAACAGTATTGCAACTACTAAAGGCGGAACACATATTAATTATGTGAGTGATCAAATTGTAAACAAGTTAATGGAAATCGTCAAAAAAAAATCCGGAAAATCTGGTGTCCAAATCAAACCTTTTCAAATAAAGAATCATATGTGGTTGTTTGTCAACTGTCTCATAGAAAACCCCACATTTGATTCCCAAACAAAGGAGAATATGACTCTGCAGACAAAAAGTTTCGGGTCTACGTGTACTCTAAGTGAGAAGTTTATTGGACAGGTGAGAAAAGTTTTTTCTATGCTTTTTGTCTTGCTTTGTGTCCAAGTATTATTGTTTCAAACGTATTTAGTCTCACTTTTATTTATTGATTTACATAGTAGTCGTTTTAACTCTAAAACTTATCAGAGTTTGGACAAGTGAGTTTATTAAGCCTAATATTTTCAATTTCACGTCACGAAGTAGTCAGAAATGATGTATATGGTTTATTTATTTCAGGGTAACTCGTTCAATAGTGTTTCGTCTGGAGTACAGCGATTTGCCAACTTGCTTCACCTATGGCGAAGGCGAGATATCCGTCTATCAATAAAAGGACGAGTATACTGCGCGGCAGTCCGTTCTGTTTTAATTTACGGCAGCGAAACACGGCCATTAAGAGTAGAAGACACTCGTAAGCTATTAGTATTTGACCACAGATGCCTTAGAAATATTGCTGGCGTCTGTTGGGATCACCGGGTAAGTAATAGTGAGGTTAGACGCAGGGTATTAGGAAATGATGGTAAATCAGTTGATGAGGTTATGAATCTTCATCGACTGAGATGGTTGGGCCACGTGTTACGTATGCCTGAACACCGATTACCACGACGTGCAATGCTATCCGGTATTGGAGATGGTTGGAAGAAAGTTAGGGGCGGCCAAACCAAAACGTGGCATCAGTGCTTGAAGTCACTAACTTCTAGTCTGAGCCATGTTGGTAGATGCAGACTACTTGGTTGGGGTCCGAGTGACTGTCGTAACCAATGGTTGGAGACTCTTGGTGAAATGGCTCAGAATCGATCACAATGGCGTCGGTGTGTACACTCCCTGTCTTCCCTTAAACTAAGAGATTAAAATCGCTTCATATCTTTCTTTCTACGATCCAATTCTTTCTTCTTGTACTATATCTCTATATGTAATCTTTCTCTTACATATTACTACCTTTGACCTAACCACTGCTATGAATCTGGTGTTCATCTTGTTGTGCTGATGCGGTATGGCAACCTGGACCGATGCACATATGTGCCTGGTCCTACGTTGTAGCTGACTGACTGACAGCGATTTCTATCGAAACCGATTTCTAGCAGTCTTAAGCAATTTAAAAAATGGTAAAACAATCGTGTTTAACAAAGCATTACATTTGTTATCTAAAAACATATGTTAGCATGAGTTTACTCAAATTGCTTACGCCTGTTACCCCTCGTGAAGGAGCATAGGTCACTCACCAGCATTCTCCAACGAACTCTGTCCCGGGCAATCCTTTCCAGTTGATATTCATCCTTTTGATGTTTGTTTCCCATGCTCGATGCACCGTATTCATTCGTCTTCACTTGAGGATTCCAAGTTTACCTAGTCATGCAGTTGGATAATTTCCACAATGTGTGTCCTATCCACCTCCATCATCATCTCCTAACTTTTTCTTCAGCTGGAATCTGGTCAGTTCTCTCCCTCAGTAGGCTGTTGCTAATGGTATCCGGCCAAAGGACATTCAGTATCTTGCGTGAACAACTGCTTTTAAATACTTTTACATCTTGACGTTCGTATTGAAGATTCTGATTTTGATATTGGTTGACAGTTTTTTCGAGTTCCACGTGTTCTTCAACTGTAGGAATGCTGCCCTTACTTTTCCAATCCTTGCCTTTTAGTCTGCATCTGATCCTCCTCGTTCGTCGATGATGCTTCCCAAGTAGATGACACTTTCCACATCTTCCAGAGCTTCTCCGTCAAGTGAGATTGGGTTGGTGTTCTCCGTGTTGTATTTGAGGATGTTGCCTTTTCCCATGTGTATGTTGAGGCCTACTGATGCAGAAACTGCTGCAGCTACACTAGTTGTTTACATGTGCATTTGTTCGTGGGGATGGGATAGAAGAACTGGGTCATCTGTCAAGTTCGAATCGTCTAGTTGCATCCAACCTGTCCATTATGTTCCGTGCTTCCCTTCAAATGTGGAGGTCTTCATGATCCAGTCAAGCACCAGAAGAAAAAGGAAGGGGAAGAGTGAGCAGCCTTGTCTGACTCCAATCCCCACTTGGAATGCGTCTGTCTGCTGCACTGCATGCACGACTTTGCAGTGTGGTCTATCGTATGAATTCCGTATGATGTTGACGATTTTTTCAGACACACCATAGTGACGAAGAGGGTTCCGGCCCAGCACCTCCTGACACGTTGAAGTTAGTGCTTCTTTGACTCCTTTCCAATTGTCCTCCATAGCAGTTTCTTCTCTGAGTAGATCTTTAATGCTTGTAACATGTTGTTGAGAGTTATCTTGAGTTTTTCAGTATGTCGAGGAAAGGCTGTATTGAACCTTTACAATGTTGTTTTTCCAGTTTTGCAATGTTCATTTAGCTCTAGTTTCATCTTGGCAATAACCAGCTGTCAATCAGAATCTGTCAGTTCCTCTCCTGGTTCTCATGTCTCATTGTCCTGAATTTTTTACTGATGCGAATATGATCTATTCAGCTTTCTGTAGTGTGGTTCGGTGAGATTTCTTTCAATAATGAGTGTGTAAAGAAATGGAGTCGCAATCTTAGTTATTGATAGTCAATTCACCACTAATAAGTAATGCTACATTTTAACTATTTTTGGATTGTTAATATCAGCGTTTTTCTTGGCCTTGGAAGCATTTTTCTTATAACAAGTGTGAATAATTTGAGTACTTGAGGGTCTTGGACTCTTTAAAATGTGTTGGTATGTTTAATGTTGAGATTTTGTAACATTGGTTAGTTTACTAGTTACGTATCATCTTTGTGTTAACAAATTGTAATTTCTATTTTTCATACATTTACGTTCATTTGTTTTAGGCCTCAAAATCGGGTATAGTTGAAAATGTACTGTCTTGGATTCGTTTTAAAGCAATGGAAAAAATGGACAAGCAATGTCACAAATCCAAACATTCTAAGCTCAAAGGAATACCTAAATTAGATGATGCAAATAATGCAGGGACTAAAAATTCTTCTCAATGCACTCTTATTTTAACAGAGGGTGACTCAGCCAAAACTTTAGCTGTGGCTGGTCTTGGAGTTGTCGGTAGAGACAATTATGGTGTCTTTCCATTGAGAGGCAAACTACTGAATGTTCGTGAAGCATCTAACAAACAAATTATGGAAAATGCAGAAATAAACGCATTGATTAAAATTCTTGGACTCCAATACAAACTGAAATATGAGTCGGCGGATACGCTGAAAGATTTACGCTACGGCAAGTAAGTCTGACATTCCTTACTATTTGAAACTTCCAGGCTATATATATATATATATATATAGTGGGTGGTTAGTGGTTAGTTTTCACCTGTGATCTTATTTGTTTTTTCATTTACAGGATTATGATTATGACTGATCAGGATCAGGATGGTTCTCATATTAAGGGTTTAATAATAAATTTTGTTCATTGTAACTGGCCAAATTTACTAAAGCATAACGTAGTAGAGGAATTCATCACTCCAATTGTAAAAGTGTTTAAAGGGAAACAAGAATATTCTTTCTACAGCTTACCAGAATTTGAAGAGTGGCAAAAATCAACTCCAAACTGGCATACTTGGCGTGTAAAATACTACAAAGGTACGTCTTGTTTCAATTGTTCGTTATATTTCCTTTTACTCATGAGCACGAAACATTCACTAAGAGTCTTACATTTTAACTTCTAGTCAACTCTACGTTGCATTATTTCTCCTCATATTAGGTTTGGGTACTTCAACAAGCAAGGAAGCTAAGGAATACTTTTCTGACATGAATCGTCATCGGATTCGATTTCGCTACAGTGGGACTGAAGATGATGGGAGCATTCAATTGGCTTTCGACAAAAGTAAGATAGCTGATCGTAAAAACTGGTTGACCAACTTTACACAAGAACGTAAACGTCGACGTGAATTAGGTCTCCCGGAGCCTTACTTGTATGGGAAAGATACTCGAGCAATAACTTATCATGATTTTGTTCACAAAGAGCTAGTGTTGTTTTCGAATTTGGACAACGAACGGAGTATCCCATCTGTTGTAGACGGGCTGAAACCTGGACAAAGAAAGGTTAGCATCTCAGAAATTTTACAAATTTATAACCAATGTTCCTCAGGTGTATCGAGTTACAACTATAGGCTTACTCATAATTCTCACAAATCTAATATTTTTGTTGTTGCTTTTGTTCAGTTCACCAGAAAAATACAGTATGTCTACGTTTTGGTATTACTGTATGCTGTGAACATTGATCGACGTTACAGTTAAGTTTATAAATTAATTCTCGGACAGTTATTAGGTATAAAATCTTGAGTTCTTATTATTTTTAAAAAGTGTTTATTACTATTCAAAATTAATATCAACTTTAACACACGGATGCTCTTTAAATGAACGTTCTCATTCTCAATATCGTTATTTATAGTTATATTCTAATGTTGGTGTTTTTACTAAGCTACGGTATCACCTACAGTATTCTATCTCTTGTGAGAAAATCTCGTCAATAATCATTAATAGATATTTAAGAATTAAGAATAGTAGTAGGCAACATACAAATCTAAAACACATTTTGTTTGACAATAAACCTCACAAACAAGTTTTATATATACTTTTCTGATTTGAAGACTTTTAACTAACGAACACTTTTATCCTCTTAAATTTTGACTTTATGTTTCCTTTATTTTCTAGGTACTGTTCACCTGTTTAAAAAGAAATCTTATTAGAGAAATTAAAGTTGCTCAGCTCGCTGGTTCTGTTGCTGAACTGTCGGCTTATCATCATGGTGAACAGTCCCTGATGAGCACTATTATTGGTTTAGCTCAAAACTTTGTCGGTATGTTTTATTTATTTTCGAGTACTTCAAAACAGTATTCTCCGTATATATATATATATATATATATATATATATATATATATATATATGTAGGGCTACTTGATGAAATCCCGCTTCATCTACTTAAGTTTGGGAAAACTAGTAGTTTATTTTGAATACAGGCTCACGAATATATATTTGATCGCAGTTAAACGGCTTATGTTTCGAAGTTTGTTAGTCATTGATTGCTTATGCTAAACAGGTTTTGTCCCTTCATGTTTGATCTCTAATATTGTTTTGAATTTCTTCTGAATATTGCTTCAGAAAAAACCCACAAAACTGATATGTCTTTAAAACTGGTCGATGGCTTCGTCTTGAAGCCATCGTTTATTCACTGCTAAATACTAACTACTAAACCGGAGAGTCACTTAGTTACTTAAGAGTGAAAAAACTGGATGGAATACCAAAATATTACTAAAGCATCTAATTACTACGGGGAGGAAAACCCGCTGAGTCATTAAAATGAATGGTGTCTCGGCGAAGAAAACTTCCTTTTTCGACGATATCATTTCCGTAAGCTTGTACAATCGTGTTTATATTTAATTTTACACGTAGTCTACAATAGAATAGACCAGTGTTACATAATTAAAACAAAATTATATTAGACGTTGTTAGGTATCAGGTATAAGTCTATAGAAAATGGAATGGTTTTGGATCATAAAGTAATCAAAATTTTCGAGAGACTTCAACTATTGAGTATGACAATACACAGAAGGGTATTGTTTCATTTAATAAAATAACCAAAGTCCTTAAAAGCTTTCATGTATTCAACGAATAAAAGTACTCCACTTCGTAACAAATTAATCAAATATTACCAAAGGATTAAATTATCTAATAGTTTTAGAGATAATTAATAACTTATTGAAGAAATATAGACGACAACTGTTTACTTTACGATGGTGATAAGATAATAATTAAAAAATGATAAAAGCATGGAAGAATAAGGGATTGAACAATAATCTTGTACAGAGAGATCAGTTTTGAACTATTACATCTTATCTGAAAAGTGTGCCTCTGTAACTGGTTGTCTCGCGTGAATATCTGGCAGTTAAAAGTAGCTCTGTTTGATAAATTTATAAACATAATTCTGGTTCATATCGGAAGCTTTCGTCAAATTTAAATGATCTTCACAAACCACTCAGTCAGTAATAATTTTCTTCCTAGCTACTGACCTAGAAATACAGATTCCCGAAGTGCTGGTGGCAAGTTATGACTGGTAGAGATCAGTCATATCAGTAATATAGAGGTCTTTGCTCTCCGCGAGTTCGTTTCCTAGTGTATAGTTTATTTACACAGATAGTTGTGTTGAGTTTGAAAATATCACATGAGTTTTATTCTTGGTCGTGTAAGAAGCTGTTCTTAAAATGTTTTATTATGAATAATTATTTATCCTTAGGATCAAATAATTTAAATTTGCTTCAACCGATTGGTCAGTTTGGTACGCGACTTAGTGGAGGTAAAGATGCTGCATCTCCTCGTTATATATTCACTGCATTGAACTCACTCACACGACTTATTTTCCATTTGGAGGATGATCCTCTGTTAAATTATCTATACGATGATAATCAACGTATTGAACCAGAATGGTATGCTCCAATAATTCCTATGGTCCTTGTCAATGGAGCAGATGGTATCGGAACTGGCTATGCAACACATATTCTCAACTATAATGTTATAGAGATAATAAACAACCTTTATCGTATGTTAGATGGTGAAGAACCGCATCGTATGTTGCCGAACTTCCGTGGCTTTACTGGTACCATTGAGGTAAGAAAAAAGTGCACTGGATATTATTATTGTTAATGTCGTTTGTTAGATTATGTGCTCCACTGTCATGTTGTACTTATCACTATTTACATATCAATAAGTAAATTTATTTTTAGGATTTGGGTAATAATCGTTATGTTTGCTATGGAGAAGTTGCTGTTCTAGATGATGATACTTTGGAGATTACTGAACTTCCTATCCGGGTCTGGACACAGAATTACAAAGAATCAGTTTTAGAACCTATGTTGAATGGTTCAGAAAAGGTCCCTGCTTGTATCACGTAAGTAAATATTCCTTTCAACCTTCATATCTAAAATTTCCTAACTTTTAAGAAAATGCGTATAACTTTTATTTTGTTCATTCTAGAGATTACAAAGAATATCATACAGATGTCACTGTGCGGTTCGTTGTTAAGATGTCTCCTGAAAAATTGCGGGAAGCCGAATCTACTGGACTTCATAAATTCTTCAAACTTCAAACAGTCATGAGTACCGGTTCGATGGTTTGCTTCGATCCTTTAGGTTGTTTAAAGTGTTATCCCAACGAGATGGTTATTATCCGCGAATTCTACGAATTACGTCTTACATGGTAAGTCTAATTAGTGTTTGTACCTGACGTGATTGTCAACTAAGATTTCCCACAATTTTCAGCCATTTATACACATCGTAAGGTACAAACACCGTTAAGGGATTTAGTATTAAGTCCCATAGTAATCGAGTGTCTGTCATAATAACCTGTTTGAGCTACACTAGCTTCTCATACTCGTTCCTTCAGATCCTATCAACCCAGCGGGGTCAGTCGAAGAGAATTGAAACGAGGAGCAGCAAATATAAAGCTTGAAGACAAAATCTTATTACCAACTGTACTGATAATAGTTGGATGTTTTCTTTGGATAACCAGGTTCTCCAATGATATTACATTCACACAACAAAATGGGGTGTGTGGAAAGGTCGACCTTAAGAATAATACATTACCTTGCTGCAAAAACTTCCGGTGCCGGTGATGAGAACATGTAAAGTTTTATACGCTAAAAGCTTTTCACAAGAAGGCAGTGCTTGACTGACACCTAACAACTGTCTCTTGGGATCTGCGAGTACGCTCTCAACTTGTTAAGACCATTGTTAACTCCTCCGGAATAATATTCAAAATTTATAAGAAGTGGAGTATGAAGTGAATCTGTTTCATTTTTGTCGATTCTAAATTTTGTCATCAATAATCTTAAATCACTGGTTTTGACTATTTTTCAAACCTCATCCAGACCATTTGGAACTCCTGTATCATGTTTTTGTTTGATCATTCTTGGAATTATTCTACTTGTCCCTGAATTCAGTCAGCATTTAATTTCATGGAAGGTGGCAAAGAAGCCTGTGTAGCATTTTTCCAGTCACTAGTTGTTAGATGTTTGTACTATAACCATTTAGTTAGAACAAGTTACTGACTTTTTAATTAATGATCAGAATGTTCATGCTATTTCTGTTCCTTTTAAAGTTGTCTCTTTCACGATAACTATTACGTCTCGATAATTTAGTGTATATATTTTCAAATGCTAACTGTTATAACTTGTGGCCTGTGTGCCCTGTTAATGTATAACGTGATGATACCGCCAATTAGAGAGCAATGAATTATCGATCAGACCATTGACGCATAAAAACCAGTACGAGCAGTCTAGAGACCTTATCGGTCCTGATTCCCGCCTAGCCCAACCAATTATTTCCAGAACACCAATCTCAGCCTCTGCGGTATGAATCATTTATTTGAAAAATAATGGATTTATATACCAACCAGGCAAACCACATCGTACCATAGAATAGGAAACAACATTTGTACAAAATTTAGACAAATGTGGCTGTTAATAAGGGAGATAGTAATCGATTTATAGGGTTTGACTCAAGAATGGTAAATCGTATAATAATAGTTCATAGGCTAAAATAAAGCTCATAATAAGAAGGACACGATTATGAATAGTTTAGTTATTTAACAATTATACGATAAAAATATGCGTATAGTGTTAGTTCAGAAATGGATTCCAAAAATTACCATTCATTATTCTTATCGGTATATAACACTACCATGAACGAGAAACGTAGGTGACTTCCTCTTTTTTTCACCCAACCACAGCTAACCTGAATTTAAAAAGCAATGATTGCTTAAAATCTATTAGATCTAATGGGGTAACCAGTTATGTCACAAAACAGGCAAACCAACTTAAAAACACCATTTAAAGCTTTGGAAGTGAGAAACAAATGAGGTCGAGGAATTTGGCGAATAGTGTGGAATTGAAACTTAAATCATACATATTATTACGGTGTAGGCGCTCTGATTTATTTCTTTTTTGGGGTGGGGGGTGGAAGTAAACAAATTTAATACATTAATTTACTTACTAATCCAACAGTTACTAGCCGTTGCTTGAACTTCTATGTTTTGTCAACTGATTTTTTTCGTTGCCTGTGAACACAATGTACATCTATGTAACTATTTACAAATTCTTTAAAACAAGTTTGATTACATTTTCTATATACAGTACTTATAGAAGTAAAATGATTGATATCGATTATATAGGTATGAAAAACGGAAGGTCTACTTAGAAGGTGTATTGTCTGCAGAGGCTCGGAAACTAGAAAATCAAGCCAGGTTCGTCCTTGAGAAAATTCAGTCTATTATGGTGATCGAAAATAAACCAAAGAAAGAATTGATTCGTATGCTTAAGGAAGCCAATTATGATTCAGATCCTGTTAAGGCATGGAAAGAAAGCATAGACAAAGCAGCTGCTGTGCAGGAACAGGAAGAATCTCGTACAGATGAAGGTGCCCCTCAAACTGAAGCGGTTGAAGCAGGTCAACCTGACTACAATTATATTTTAAATATGCCTTTATGGAGTTTGACGAAAGAGCGTAAAGATGACTTACTTGCTCAAAGAGATGCTAAGCAAAAAGAATTACTCATTCTAAAAAGTAAATCTCCTTCCGATTTGTGGCGTGAAGATCTTAAGAAATTAGAGGAGGAGTATAAGGTATTTTCTTATTTGATCATTTTGTAGTTTTAGTAAACTATAAATATATATGTAAATATATGAACCCGAAGATCCCTGGTAACGGCCGATAGTAGGGGGAGTCCACTGTCCTTTTCTAAATACTCTCACATGGCCACACGTATACACTCACAGCCAGCGAAGTCCTACTCACTGCCTTCTCACAGCGGGGTTGTTGTTTACGAGATTGAAAGAACGAAAAGCGAATGTCCGGCGCTTTAACCGGATCGGTGGATATTGTGCATCTATCTGGGGGGATTGGAAAAGCCTGATCCTAAACTAATGACGTACATAGGCTCCAGTATCCTGAGGGAACAAATGGTTTGTGAACCAATTATTGTTCACCGGCTACCATGAGACTGCATCTCGTAACGTTGCTTGACTGTCTTGTAAATTAGACGTCTAGGCCGAAGGCTCCGGGTGTGGCTCCTTAAGAAAACCACCTGCTTCGGTCTGAGTACCCAGGCAGTATCATATCTCACACACAAATCAAGTGATTTGTGTGACACATATGTATTCAGTGCCCCTTTGTACCAATATTTATGTGTTCAAATAATAATAATAATAATACTTCATGAGCCTGCATCTTTTAATAACAAAATGATATCTCTTTACATATGATTTTTGTTCAGAAAGTAGAAGCGGAGTTGGCCGCTGATGAACAGGCTGCAATTGAAGCAGTTGAAAAAAAATTAAAAATAGCATCGACTACGACAGCTGGTCGTGTTGCTGCTACAAAATCACGTAAATTAGCAATGGAAACAAGACCAGATCCAATGGGTAGACGAATTGTTCCGACAGTAGATGCTGATATGATGAAGAAGGTGGAGGGAAATAAGAAGAAACGAAATAAAACAGAAAACGATCTAAATGAAGGTTTGTTTTTTCGTATTATGCCTTTGCTGTTAGTGAGAAGAAATCAGTTATAAGTTACAAATAGGTCTTCTATTGTATGTTAATTTTGTTTATTTCATAGATGTATACGAATGGCACAGTTGATATATTTTGCAGTTTCATTCATTAAAACAAAGCGTTTTCACTGAAAATAATTTTCTTTAAAATGGATACTCATTTTGACTACTGAAACATCATCGTTATGTGTTGTTTAGTGTTTGTGAGCGAAATAGTTGCCATATACCATATGTTTTTAATTTGATTTTCTCCTACTCTTCTTTAATTGTTGGTTTGAAACATTTTCTTAATTTTGTTTCGAGTTCTTAGCGTATATTTGCTCCTACTCGTCTCAATTTCCTTTTTCTTTCTATAAGGTAACGAGTTGGATAATAGTTTCGAAGCGAATGATGAAGAAAACGATGGAAATGATGAACCTAAACCGCTTGCTCAGCGTCTTGGTGCTTCTGAAAAAACAGATGTACAGAAGACAGCTACTACACGTGGACGTGGTAAAGGAAGAACTGTCCCAACAAGTCGTCCAAAACTTCTGAAACCATCTAGTCCAAGTGAGTATTCTTCGGGTGAATACTGATCATTAATATATGAAAGCATGTAATAGTCATTTTTTACTATTATGGTTGAAGGTTACAGCATGGTGGACAAACAAATTTATATGCGTTTGCTAATTCCCTCTTATTGGTTTTTTAATATTTTTCAACGGTCTTATTTAATATAAATAATTATACCTATGAACTGCCATTGCTGAAAATAAACAAATTGGTACATTTTTCTTTTAGATATTAGTCCTATTAAACGTAGAAATGTGGGTGGAAATGCCAAGCGTAAACGGTCTAGTCGTATGCCATGGGAGTCTGGCTCTGACACCGGAGACTCAGAAAGTCAAGTCTCTATTGATAGTGATAATGATCACATTTCCCCAATTTCCGGTTAGTGTTCTTTTATCTTTCCAAGCTGTATATTAATCTGATTTTCGATGGTTTGTTGGTTGTTATTATTTACTTTGTTGAATGTAAATTATAGTTTTTGATAAGGGGTTCCCTGAACTGAATGATTTAATTGCAAAGCTTCATTTGTCATTCTAGATAGCAACATTGTAACTGTTCACTTCCATAAATCTAACCACACCATGTCAACTTTATATAACAAGTTAATAAAGTGTATCTTTTTCACTGTATTCACATCTGTTCAACTTTAATCACTCTACTATTCTATTACATTTATTATTAATATCCATAAACCTACATTAGCCAGTTTTTTCGTCAAAAATAATATTTTGAAAGGTTTTATTTATGGATTTACAAATTTTTAGGCATTAATAATTTATTTCGATGGAATATAAGTTGGGGAGCTTGGATTTACTGTCGAGTTTCGCTATAATATTTATTGTAACAGTGGGTCGAAAGTAGATTACATTCTCTATCATAGTATAATTACTAAATTATCTCAAAATTGTAAATATTATGATGTGAAACTTTCTTTTGACAACTAACTCGTGGCATGAAGTACTAGTAACTAATATATGGAGCCATATTCATTAATTTTCATCCCATTTTCAACTCTGCCATATTTTCTTCTGTTTCCTGGCCGACCACTTTTGGTCGAGTCAGAGTTTGTGGAATTGGTTACTGTAAATGGTGTTCGTCAGGGTTGTCTGCTTTCTTCATTTTTATATAGATTTATCCTAGTCATGGTTTTATAGATAACTCTCTCATCGTCTGACTTTCCAGGAGTTTATTTTCTACCATGAGATTCACTTGTTGACTTAAAACACGGAGTTGATATAATTCTGTTTGGTGAAGACGCTGACAAAATACAGTCTTCCGACCAACTTAAGCAAGAATACAAGCATGTTTGGGATGCGGTTCTCTCCCTCCAAATGTAAAATTTTACTTCGGGATTGGCTTGCGTCACCGCCTGAATTAATGATAGGCAGTGAAGTAGTTGAACGCATAGACTGCTTCACTTATCAGTCCTAATGGTCTGGTGTCTGACGAAATCCCAGCACGCATTTAGAAGGCTCGATTGGCATTTGCCAACTCGCATCACTAATGACGTATGTGGGATATTCGTCTTCCAACTAAAAGGTGAGTTTATTGTGCAGCGGTTCTCTCCGTTCTACTTTATGCATTTCAAACATGAGCATTGTAAGTGTATAGGATGTTTGTTAGTTACTGGTCTTCGATTATAGGTATCTAAGAAGCATTGCTTGTGAATTTTGGAGCCACGGAGTAAGCAGTGCGTGGGCTAGAAATCGGATTCTAGATGTTAACAGGAAATAGATTGATGAGGTGGTAAATCTTTGTCAACTGAGGCGGTTCGGACATGTCTTACGTACACGCAACTGCCACCATGAAGTCACTGACAGTTGGACTTAGCCATGTCAGTAGGTACGAAATACCTGTTTGGGGTCCTCGCGATTATCTTGACCACTGGTTAAAGATGTTGAATGACACGGCTCAAAATCGCTTGCAATGACTCATGTGCATCCATTCTTTGTCTTCCAAATTTTAGATTTCTCCCGACTATTTTTTGTTTTTATTTCTCTAATTTATATTTTCTTTTCGAGTCGTATCTTCGATGCCTGATCTTTCTTATTACCACTAATACTGTTTCTACCTCTATTATCCTAGGGTTTGGCCTGACAACCTTATCTCTCTGTACTAATGTAATGTGGCAACTTGAGCCGATCTACATATGTACAGTTTCTACATTGTGACTGATTGATACTTTCTTGTGTTTAGGCAACAGGATAGATGTTGCTCAGAACGTAGTGAATATCCACTAGCTTATTTTATAGATTTTCTTGTAATCTCAATTACACCCGCTAATTCTCAATGTGTTGGCATGCGAGTTTGTAGCATTTCTGGACAATTTATGAAATAATGATATGCATCAATGACTGCAAATCGAAACAATCAACCATACATTTATCCATCTTAGTCATTGATGAGTTTATTTGTATTGCAGTTAATAACGTCTTAAGATACTAAAAGTCGTCTTCTGATGAAAGTTGATTATTTCGAACTAACTAGATCGTAATAAATAATTAGTTTGTTACGCCAAACATTCGCTTCATTTTCATAACTTAAATTACTATTTGAGGCGTGTTAATTTGAATGATTACTGAGCTGACCTAAATATTTTCAACACAATGTACTATGGAGCATTTTATAATTTGTATCAAAGTACTAAATTTCTGAAGTTCGAGATCTGTCATTTTCTTTCAATGGTACATACTTATACATCTGCTCTTAGTTGTTGTTTGCTATTCGATCACAAGGCAAAAGTTGTAATTTATATGTAAGTTCATTATAATGTCTGTATATTTATGCAAGTTGTGATTTACACTTATTTCTTCAGTGTAAAAGCTTATATACTGTAGTCAACGTACATTATTGATAATTATTTTTGTTACTATTTAACATCATTCGTGTTTAACTACTTCACTCTTCAATCATGTAGGTGGACCTGCTGTCGATCGTGTACGACGTGAAAAAGCTGCAGCAACAAAATATGTTTTCGATAACGACAGTAGTAGTAATGAAGAAGATAATGAACAAGAGGAGAATTTTCAAGTTGTTGATCATGGACAAGGAAATAAAGAGATTGATATACCGATTGTCTCAGAAATTCCAGACACTAAGTCATCATCAATCCCATCAAGTAGCCATGGTGGTGGTGCATCTGTAAAGGCTGAGTGAGTAATCACTTTCATGTCTTCTATGCATTTCGTCTTCATGTGTTACTTTTTGCTAAAACTCTAACCCACTATTCCTTTTGTTACCTGTCTTATGGTTATTCATATATATATATATATATATATATATATATATATATATATATATATATATATATATGATGTTGTAGTTTGTGACACATTCGTATTTCACTAATCTTGTTTGGTACAGGTTAAAATCCCTGCTGCTGAAAATCACAATTCGGGGTAATCGTCTATCTTATATAATGTATATCTCATTATTTATAAGAATTTCATCATCAGTAACTAGAAAAATGCAAATCATAAATATTATAGGAACTGAATAAAGAAATTACATTGTAAATGAAGAACTAGATTTTTCTAAACTAACTATCTCCTAAATGATTCAGATATTTGCTTTCTGTTTGTATATATGTATATATATGCTCCATAACTTCTGAGGATATTACTTATCTAGTCTTTCCCCCTTATTTTCTGTTTTGAATATTAGTTCTGGGTCAACATCTCGTGGTGCTCCTGGTATTGCATCAGGTCGTGGACGTGGTCGTGGTGGCAAAGGACGGCAGTTTTCAGCTCCACCTAAATCACAACCTAGTATCAAATCAATGTTTCCTCCTACTCAGAAGAAAACCACAATAAATATTTCAACAGACGATGATTCTAATGATGCCGCAAGTAGTTAGTATATTTCATTAATCATTATTAGCATTGTAGATAACAGTTCTGTGTTTTGTATGTTATATTCACTTGTGTGTTATTTTTCATTTACCGATTCACTGCTACATTTAGATCATAATACTAGCCAGTCAAACAAGTATCAAAACGTTAACCTAGTGACTATCATATATAGGGTAACCTTACAGTAGGTTTAATTCGTCGAAATCCATTAATCTAAATTTTTAACCGTCTGACTCTAAAATTATCTTCTTGAAATCATAATGTTCATCACAATTTATCGAATTTCATAATAAGATGTATTTTGGTAAGTCTGAGTAGTGGACGCTCTGTTATGAAACTCGCTTTTTTAAATACTTTCCAAATGTAGGCTGTCACAGCAACTCAGCCTTGATATGGCTAAGAGTGGGGAGAGTCTACTGTCGCTCTTTAAATACTCTCACATGACCATACATATACAACCACTAACAATGAAGTCCTCACAGCGGGGGTGTTGTTTACGAGATTGAAAGAACGAAAAGCGAATGTCCGGCGCTTTAACCGGATTGGTGGATATTGTGCATCTATCTGGGGGGATTGGAAAAGCCTGATCCTAAACTAATGACGTACATAGGCTCCAGTATCCTGAGGGAACAAATGGTTTGTGAACCAATTATTGTTCACCGGCTACCATGAGACTGCATCTCGTAACGTTGCTTGACTGTCTTGTAAATTAGACGTCTAGGCCGAAGGCTCCGGGTGTGGCTCCTTAAGAAAACCATCTGCTTCAGTTTGGGCACCTAACCATTATTCCAGCCCTCATAAATTGAATGACGAAGTGTGGCGCATATCTATTTGGTGTCCCCTTATATCAATGTTTATGTGTTTAAATAAAATAAAACAAATATATTTCTCTGAGTAATCGTGCAGATAATCTTTCATTATAATAACTAGATACTCATCAATTAGTGTTTTTACAGTTTTACTTGTAGTCTAGATCATAGTAGTACATCATAATAGATACAAGCTGTTGATAATTCAACTTTTATTAGTGAAAATAATAGTAAATTTATTTTCGACTTTTTATTGTTTTGTGTGGTATCATAAAAAGAAAATAACTGTAAAAATTGCAATAATTTGGTCTTTTTATGATTTATTTATTCTCAAATCAGTAACTACTTCTCAAAAAGAGCCTAGGGTAAATTCTCGACGTACTGTAACAAATCGTGCCCGATACGTATTTGATGATGAAGATGACGATCTAGATATTGACTCAGATGACAGTGGTGCCAAAAAACAATCCAAAGGTGGTTCACGTAAACGTCAGAAAAACGATGATGATAGCGATTTTGAACCCGAAAAGGTTAAGAAGGGCAAGTAAGTAAGATTGGTCAGACTAATAGTTTCCGTTGATAATAATAATAATAATAATAATAATAATAATAATAATAATAATAATCTGTTCAAAGAAATTTCAAGTACTCACAGATCGGTTTTCTCATATATCTGAAATCTATAATTAAGGACGATCAACAGCATTCACTGAAATCCAAAACTTTAAAATTGACACAAACATATTTTCATTTTCCATCATATAAACGATTAGTGTAATTTACTTTTTCATTATGTACATCTAATATATACACATTAACACTGTTTTTCTAAACTTGTTTATTTAAAATTGATGCATGTGAATTAGCGAACAATAGTGTTTAACTTCTACATCTTGAGATAATAAATTTATCTTTGCAGAAATTAATGGATTTGGAAAAATTACTGATATTACTTATAAAGGCCAGCATGTTTTCATCTTTCTCTTCAATCTAAAATCTATCAGTAAACATTTGTTTCTCATTGTTTAAGTCACGGACTAGTCTTAGTTAGACCATCGTTGAAAATCAGGGAAGCACTGAGTAGCTGTTTCATTCTAGTATGGGATTGCTCAACAATGAGCATCTACAAACCCCCTTCAGAGAATTGAACCCAGGACCTTCGGTCACATGCATGAACGTTTGATCTATGAAAAGTCAACGATCTATATAAATCCCTTACAGTAACACTAACTCTATCCTCACAAGGTAGAATTGCTGAATTATTAGTGAAATGCCTTGACCAGTGGAGCTAAACCACGTTGGCTGTCAGACTGTTGTCTTCCCCAGACGATTTATAAGGGTTTTTCAGTATCGTAAATTGATTTAGGTTAGGCGTATGCACCCCTGGATGCTAATTCAGTGGTCTAGATGCTGAGTGTTCGGATTCAAGACCGAAGATCCTGAGTTCTATTGATTGTAGTGGGGTCGTGAATACTGGGAGGCTTTGCATTAAAACCAAACATCTGTATAATGCTTCCGACTTTCCAATTGTAGTCTATCTAAGATCAGTACGTGACTAAAACTATGAAGATCCTACAATTTTTAAAAATCCCCTGTACAAATATTTGTTTATTAATAGGTAAAATCACCGTCTAGAAGTGTGTGTTTCATTCTTCCTGCACTGATCTTAGCTATAGATTATTTTTCTAGCGGATTTTGCGTATTATTTATGGTATTGAATATTGTTCATTTTTGTTTTCATTTTGGTCCGCATGTTTCAGGTCAAAGAAGGGAGCTCTAGATGACTCAGATTTCGAATTCTCCGACTAGACACTTGTACAGAAATCCTTTTTTGTTTGAACCATTTTTTGTTAAACAACTGTAATTTCTCTTTTATAAGGTTGCATTGTATTTGTTACATATTCCTCCCCGTTTTTTTATTGGACATTTTCGGCCCCGAAATTTATCACATATACTCATATACATATATGTTTCTATAATGTCCCTTACCATATTGTATTAAAGTTCATTTTGGTATATACTAATAACTGTTACAGAAATGGATATACTACTTATTATAAAATGTTAACAGTTTGGTATGTTACTTGTTTTTGTGGTTTATATTCTACGTTATTTCTCTTATTGCATTTTTCATAATTATATTACAACATTTTCTGTTTTTTTACTGCACTAAATAATTTTAAAAAAATAGTTTTTTGTTAAATAGGTCCCAGTTTGGGTTTTTATCGATATTTCTAAGTGTACCTTGTTATGTTAAAAATTTTTTATTCTCATTATTTTATGGGAGGCATACGATAATAATGAATCGTTTCGTTGTGCGGTAATATCTTCATACTAAACAATTTCCACTAATTGAAATCTAATAGTTTCATGAATCTGAGTTTAGTAGCTTGAATTTGTCATTTTTTCACACTAGTTATAGATTCCTATTTTTAGAGTCGTTTGCTATAGCAGTCCAACCACACTATTAAGTGATACGTAAAATCCATAAAATAAAAAGACAGTATGATTATGATATAATTATATTAAATATATTACAATACTCAACTTGCGAGGTCGTCGCGATAAAAGATGTCAACTTCTGTAATTTCAGTAATGTATTTCCTGAATTAGATGACTAAAGATATTTACAAGAATGTTCGTTAAGCTGATTAGTGCCTTTCAACCTAATATGATTACGCGAAGGGAAAAAATCATGGACACGATTAATTAATGGAAACCTATTCGTCACTATGGTGTGTCAACCAATATCAGAATCTTCAATACGAACGTCAATATGTAAAAGTATTTAAAAGCAGTTGTTCACGCAAGATACTGAATGTCCTTTGGCCGGATACCATTAGCAACAGCCTACTGAGGGAGAGAACTGACCAGATTCCAGCTGAAGAAAAAGTTAGGAGATGATGATGGAGGTGGATAGGACACACATTGTGGAAATCATCCAACTGCATCACAGACCACGCCAAAGAGCATTGCGACGTAATTGGGAAGCAGACATCAAAAGTATTCTGAATTGCTGTGGTTACTGATTATTAGTAAGTAGTATAATGTAATACACGAAAGTGCAGTTGTAGAAGATGCAGGCAGTTTAAATAGCATTAATGTTAGACTTTTGAGCCTTTGTTTCCGAAATCCTTGGAAATTATTTATATCTCGGTTGTTGTTTGGAATCTTATGCTTTTCGACCTACAGTAGATGTCCGGTGATGATCTGAAGAAAAGCTAGCGATATTATTGTTAATTATTTTGAGTTACCGTTTTCTTGTGATAGTGGGGATCGTAACTAATATGGGTTTAAACTTAAGACCAGTAATGTAATATTCTACTGTCGTGCAGGTAGTTTTTTCGACACAAACGTCTTCTAAATAGAAGCATCAATAAATAATAGGACTTTGGAGGTATCATTAAACAAATAGGATTGTTTTACGATAGAGAAATAATTTGATTATGATAGCCTGCAATATCCAGTTACGTACATTAAAGAACTACATTGTTCTAGAGAAAAAGTGTCGCGTCACTTGACTTTAGACGTAGGTTTTCTACTCTCTGAATGGTATACGTTTCGTAAATTATCTGATGTGTTCATATCTCTACCTAGTTTGTGAGAAGAATCTTGATTGCACAAATATTAGTACTAAGAGAGTACTGATGCGTTTATGAAATTAAACAAGGTACCGAACAAATAGATGTAACACGCTATTTTGAAATAACCTAAATTGTCTTCATCAATATCTGTTTACAACAACATATCATGTAGATGGATCCCATAAAATGCAAAATACCACGATCTGTTAGTTTATTCTGTTTTTAGAACAGATTCAATGAAATATTAGATATTCATATCACATTTTTAATTTGGTTTATGTTTACCAAATACTAAGACAAGGATTCGTCTAAAACGTTTCATTCCAAAAAGATTATTTAAGTGATCTAATATAATCATTTTAATTTGAAATCATTACATAATCTTTGGAGATTTTCCGATGTATTCGCTATACTTCAGACTTTTCAATTGATGAAAACTCAACAGAGTATGAAATCAAATACCACAAAGGTACTAAACCGTCTATTGGTAACATAGAAGAATGAATTATGATTTTTGATCTTTTGAGGTTAATCTGTGCAGTCTGAAGCCAGAAAAAAGAGCAGGTTTGGGCATGGGGTCAGCAACCTCATTCGGTATAAACCGACGTTCCTAAGAAAACGCTGACCAGGAAACAACATGTAAACCCCTCAGGCTCTGTCATGGGTGTTGACGGATCTCCACTTGGAAAAATTATAACGCCTCATGGTGAGAGCTGAGATTCTTAAGTAATTATGTGACCGATGTCCTTTCTGACAATCATAACAGCAATTAAACTAGGTACATGGTGCTTTATTTCCCCCAAAACGCATACACAAAGCTTCATGGGTCTCACCGGGTCACACTACAGAGAACCAGCCATAATATTTTCATCACTGCAAAATCCAGATGGTCAGTGGTAGATGTGAGAACCAAGAGAGGAGCTAAAGCACTAGCATCAGACACAGGTAGAAGCAAAGATGCTCTGTATTCTATTCAGAAGAGTTTGGCAGGAACAAGTACCGACAAACTGTGAAGAAAGACATTATCGGGCTACAAAATAACGATCTCTGCAAGTGTGAGAACTAGAAAGGCGTCTCACTTCTATCAGTACCTGGAAAGGTTTTCAATTGAGTGTTGTTGAACGGAATGAAGGATTTAATAGACGCCCAACTTCAAGACCAACAGGCTGAATTCAGTAAGAATCAACCATGCAATCGATCGTAGTCTTACAACGCTTCGGATTTCATCACTAAGTTCTTAAATTGCACACTTTGATTCTAGTCATGCTATTTGATAATATATTACATTTAGCGGCAAATGGAACTAATACGTTCAATTTGTAATATTTTCATTTCATGTATAAAGATAGTACTGGGTCGTTTATTTTCAGTTGGTACCGAATAACGTTTCTATAAGAATATGGATAAGGAAGTAAACTATCAATAAATAGAAATTATATTATATTGAAGGGAAATCGGCCTCATGGGTTCCAAAGAATCTCGGCTTTCACCATGTGGTGATATGATTCTTCTGCATGAAGATCTTTCAACATGGAAGACGGAGTTTATGTGGTGTAAATAGTTCCTTCTGATTAGCGTTTTCTTTAACAAAGTTGTTTTCTACGGGATGGGGTTGATGAACCCATGTCCAACCCTCCTTTTTTGCCCGAACATCGGACTGGCAATAACCCTTCAAGTGCTACAGAAGTAAACAGACGAAGTTGCGACACTACGAATAATCGCTCCACAATCGATTGAATGGAACTCGTCACTATACATCAACTTCCTTAATCATGCGAAAGCATTTGATAGTGTGGATTGGATGACCTTACGGAACCCTCTTCGTCACTATGGTGTGTCTGAAAAAATCGTCAACATCATACGGAATTCATACGATAGACCACACTGCAAAGTCGTGCATGCAGTGCAGCAGACAGACGCATTCCAAGTGGGGATTGGAGTCAGACAAGGCTGCTCACTCTTCCCCTTCCTTTTTCTTCTGGTGCTTGACTGGATCATGAAGACCTCCACATTTGAAGGGAAGCACGGAACATAATGGACAGGTTGGATGCAACTAGACGATTCGAACTTGACAGATGACCCAGTTCTTCTATCCCATCCCCACGAACAAATGCACATGTAAACAACTAGTGTAGCTGCAGCAGTTTCTGCATCAGTAGGCCTCAACATACACATGGGAAAAGGCAACATCCTCAAATACAACACGGAGAACACCAACCCAATCTCACTTGATGGAGAAGCTCTGGAAGATGTGGAAAGTGTCATCTACTTGGGAAGCATCATCGACGAACGAGGAGGATCAGATGCAGACTAAAAGGCAAGGATTGGAAAAGTAAGGGCAGCATTCCTACAGTTGAAGAACACGTGGAACTCGAAAAAACTGTCAACCAATATCAAAATCAGAATCTTCAATACGAACGTCAAGATGTAAAAGTATTTAAAAGCAGTTGTTCACGCAAGATACTGAATGTCCTTTGGCCGGATACCATTAGCAACAGCCTACTGAGGGAGAGAACTGACCAGATTCCAGCTGAAGAAAAAGTTAGGAGATGATGATGGAGGTGGATAGGACACACATTGTGGAAATTATCCAACTGCATGACTAGGTAAACTTGGAATCCTCAAGTGAAGACGAATGAATACGGTGCATCGAGCATGGGAAACAAACATCAAAAGGATGAATATCAACTGGAAAGGATTGCCCGGGACAGAGTTCGTTGGAGAATGCTGGTGAGTGACCTATGCTCCTTCCTGTGGTGTAAGAGATAGAAGTATGATACTAATTACAGGCTGCACTCACATATTTACTTGATTCTTGTAAAGCTTTTGTGCGTTATCATTCTGGTTATTTGTCTACGTTATTGACGTACTATTCGTTAGTCAGCTTTTGAGTTTTTTCTAAAGTCATGTTCTTTTAATTTTTTTCATTCTGCTTACGATCATTTTCCTGAATTTTTATATAATTTTGATTATGTCTAAACAATAAAAATTCTTGTTTGTTTCGTTATATGTTCACTAACAAATTGATGGTAAAATTGAAAGTACCAAAGTGATTTCGTATCTCTTCCTAATTGTAAATAAAATATTTTCTTATAAAAATTCTCTACATTAAATCTTTATCTTAATGAAATAATTAGGAAAAAAGCTTTTTATTCAGCGACCTAAACTATCGAACACTTGGCAAAATTAAAGTATAATAGATTTTTTTGCTGGGGAATTACGAATGAAAAATGGGAATATAAATCTATAGATTGATCGAATTCTAGCTTGATACGTTTTTGTATCAATTAGTAATGTGAACTTGATCAATCGGTCAGTCAGTCTTACTCAATGTAAGATCTGGCAAATTTGTACTCCCTTTCAACTTAACACACCACATTGACTCAGCAAGATGAAATTGTTGTGTTAAATCCCAGATCAGTAGAGTTACTATTGTCAGTAGATAACATTGAGTAGAAAAGGTTTGTTTTAAGAAAAAGATGTATATATATATATAGTTAACATAATCAAATTAACGCGTTTAAATAGTACAAATATATTACGTATAATTATAAGGAATATAGTAGTTTAAATTCGTTTTAATCGAGCTAAAATGTTGTTTGTATATTGTCGTAAAGTAATCTAAATCAAACCGATACATTTGTACACTTATGGGTGACTAATGGTTTAGC